TATCCAAGAGGTCGTGGGTTCGATCCTCGCCGGCCGAAGACTCCCCGTGTAGTAAATGGTGACTGATGCACGTTAAATCTGTCGAGTCTCAAAGTCCTCCATGTTCCCATAACAAATCAATACCTCTGGGGGTACCGATCCAGGAGTTTCCTTGTCTTCTGGATTGGTTCGAAATTACAAGGCTACGGCGTTGAACATTAGTAGTCGTAAACCCAAAAATTGGGTCGACTGTTCAACGGCGGTCATAAAAAAAAATTAAAAAAAAATGATGAGTTATGATTTTCTGTCTGGACAGCTACTTAAGACGCGTTCTTGACTGGTGAGAACCACAAAGTCGATATCGACCCTCTAACATTGTTTAAAAAAACCAACTATGGTCGAGGTGCTCTGATGGTCTTGACAGTGATCGTGGTGAGCGGGCATACCGACCTTTTTGTGAACGATAGAGGTACTCTGATAGGACAGTGTTACAGTGTTTGAAACCCATGCAAAACTTTTCCGTGGAACATAAGGACAAAATTTTATCTTAATGATAACTGACTTAATGAGGTGGACGAATACCTCCAATCGGAGGGTATTCAACGATTGGATTGGTTTGCAATGTCTCCTGCGCCATTAATCCCATCGAACATGTATGGGACGGTCAAGAGTGGCTTGGTGCAAGAATGGATGGGGTTGTTTCAGGGATTATTAAGGACCCTTGCAAGCAATATGAAACACCGGTGCGAGAGTTGTGTAGCAGCTAGAGATGATCATATATCCTATTTAAAAAATTTCTCTGACTGACAGGGTGTCGGTAATATTTTGGCAAGGTTTGGCTTTATTTGCTTTGTTAGTTTTTTTATTACAAAAAAAATTTGACCCTTTAAGTCTTTTCAACAGTATATACATTCAAAACAATTGCTTCATAAAGTTATATCTTAGGGTAATGGAATGAACTGTTATACAAACGAGATTTTATCCAGTAATAAATATAAACGAGCTCACATATATATAACATAGTCAAATAATCACTTAATCGTTATTCAATAAGTAAAACAGTTTGTAACGTAGGAAGTGATGTTTGCAAATTAAATCATAAATATTTTAAGTTGTTTAGAATTCTCAAGTTGCACAGATTATTAAAATTTGGAATTGAAATATTGTCAGTCCTGGGAAGAAAAGCACGTAAAGTTCAAAAAACAAAAGAATATGAATCATTTAATGATAATATAATTGATAAATTAATTTAGATAAAGAACAACTCATTAATGTTGGAAACAAGGATCAGACTCTGCTGTAAGACAATAGCTAATTTACAACCCAGCTGCTTTTAACTACTAGCTCTCTCTCTTTTTTAATTTCATCGAAATTTTATAACCTTCATTGAATAGCCGACCCAAATTTGAGTTAACGGCTACCAATGTTTAACTTTGTAGCCTTGTAATTTTGAACTCAATCCAAAAGACAAGGGAACTCCTGGATCAAGTGCTAGGAGAAATTCCCCTTCGTAGAGGATTTTTTGATGAAACTAACCTTCATTTGCGTTACATGGAGAAGAAAACTTCCCACAGTTAGTCTGACGGAGAGGGAACTCAAACCCATGATCCGTTTACCACTCAGAATATTTTTACGTCAGCACTGTGGTCGGTGCAAGACGAGTGCGGAATTCGTATCGATCAGCCATCGCTCTATCCCTTGAGCAGCGGATATTTTCCTCTTGGCTGCAGTCGGTCACAATTATAATTCAAGCTTTAATTTCTTTTACAATATGCCGCTGTACTGGAAAAGTGATTGAATCTAGTAAGCTAAAATTTAATATAAAGTTCAACTCCCGGTGGCTGAGTGGTAGCGCTTCCGTGCCACAGGTCCTGGGTTCGATCCTCGGGCCGGGCAAGGTTGACTGAGCCTTTCAGTCCCTCAGTGGGCCGATAAATGAGTATTAAACATGCTTGGGAACTAAACACTGGGGGTTCCGCGTTCGGCTAAACACTGGGTCAAGAAAACTGAGATGGGCATAGTAGGCCTTGGCCCTCTATGGGCTGCCACGTCACTGAGTTTAGTTTAGTTTAGATTTAAAGTTCACAGAATAAACATTCTATAGCCGAAAAAAGTTTTTAAATTTTTAACAATTCCTCATTCATTAAAAAAAAATATTTTTCATTTTAATGAAGATCATGCAGACTGACTTCATTTTCCTACACACCAAGCCAGTACAAATTTAATTGTAAAGAAATATTCTCTCTGTGGAATTAAGGGACTTTACCACACCAATATCACATTAAATAAATTATTTTTACTGCAAGAATAATTCTTGTTTTTTCCGGAAAGTCTAAACGTGTGTATGGAAATTGGTTAAGACTAATCATGCTTATTAATGCATTCTTATATTATCGTATTCCCATTAATAACTAAATACTGTGAATACTAAATGCTAACGAAGAAGAATTTTTGCAATAATTTTAATTTATAATTAAACAACAGCCATGCTTGAAAGTAATAAACATTTAAGCAGAATTTTAATTAATCATATTTTTCATGCTTTTTTCTTTATTTTGTGTGAATTTAGATAAAAATAAGTGGAAAATATTATCTTTAGCATTTTAATAATTTATGACTATGAAGTACAACATAAACCACCGTTGTCTTTTTCTGTGTTAAAGGTCAAAGCAATATGTTTTTTTTAATTTGCAGTTGTTTAGATATAAAAGAAACAGTTACTCATCAATAAAATTTCTTTAATCTACAAAATAAATTATTGATAAGTTTTGAATAAGAATGGAAAATTTCTAACCTAATTTCTTAGACTTAATATTCTAATGCAAATATAGTTCAGATAATCGATCAGATTTTTTTTAGTTACCTTTAGACTGTTTCTTTTCATAATTGCAAAAACACCAAAAAATGTTTTGTTTGCAATTAAGAGTGTCAGAAAGAAATATATAAAAGATACACCGGTGTCCCGTCTGCGTCAAAGTGTTAATAATACTATTTTTAAGTTCTTGTGGAATGAATTTAACGTTTAAAAGAATTTTTTTCTCAAGCCTAAATATCAGAAAAAATTTCGGTTTTTACCATAATCATGTGGGAAATGAAGTTTCTTAAAACTACCGTTCTATTCAAATTTTCNCTAATTTCTTAAACTTAATATTCTAATGCAAATATAGTTCAGATAATCGAACACATTTTCTTAGTTACCTTTAGACTGTTTCTTTTTATAATTGCAAAAACACCAAAAATTTTTTTGTTTACAATTAAGAGTGTCAGAAAGAAATATATAAAAGGTACACTGATGTCCCGTCTGCGTCAAAGTGTTAATAATACTATTTTTAAGTTACTTGTGGAATGAATTTAACGTTTAAAAGAATTTTTTTCTCAAGCCTAAATATCAGAAAAAATTTCGGTTTTTACCATAATCATGTGGGAAATGAAGTTTCTTAAAACTACCGTTCTATTCAAATTTTCTTCTATAACTTTAGAAAATGAAAACCTAATAGACTTGCAAAATTTATGAAGTCTATTTTTCAAACATTTCACATTTTAAACGAAAAAAAACTTTCACATCATGGTACTATTATTACCATCAGCGGCATTTTGCCCATCGTCGGTGGTACTGAGGTAATCTTCAGTGTCTGTACAATTAATGTCAATGTCCGTCAAATCTCCAGCAAATTAAATTAATTGATCACTATTTACGCTGGAATCATTTTTGCATCCATGATCATCGTCATTATCTTCATTAACATCATCATCATCACCTACTGCGTCGTTCAATATCTCAATAAATTCTCTGTCATCGCCAGAACTGCTATCACTATCTGAAGTACTGTTACACGCTTTGAAATTATCAAGTAGATGAAGGAAAAACTTATTTTTGTTAGCAGAAGAATAACCAAATCCATCCTCAGAAAATTCCTCATCTTCAAGATCCCGTTTTAAGGAGTCGACTGATTTTCTTGAAAGCGGTGAAAACCATTTCAAAATGTTTTTCACGTTGTTCCAGTTAGGATATTTTCGCTCCATATCATAAAAAATAATTCTACTTCCTTCCTCGGACAGGAACAATTCATTCTTAAATTCCTTGATTTCTTTGGAAGAATCCAAGCACCAGTGTGAAAGATGCATAGCAAATTCGAAGTAATAGCGATCTACTAAACTTGCTATTTGTTCCAGGCATAATTTCTTAAAATTTGCAACTATCTCAGTAGAAAATGAGCTGTATTTTAAAAACTCCTCAAAAAAATCCCACCCGTTTTCACCGGAATAACCTATTCCTTGTAATAATTGTATGCATGCCGTAGAATTACGTATGTATGATTGTTTAAAATTATTACTTTCATCTACACTTTTAAAACATCAATTCATAAATCGGTCAAAAAGTCCAAAATCACCCAAGCATTTTAATGATGTGTATATTGAAAACGTATTAAGTCCATTTTTCTTAAAGCTCTCAATCTCTTCAGGAGTTTCAATAACCCACTTTAACATTTTGTCTACTGCTTGAAACTTCTTGCCAAGAATCCATTCATGGTACAGTCCATCTCCATATTTCTGTTCCAAACTTTCTCTGAAACGCTTGATATCACAATCAGATGGAAGAGTATTTTTTGCCAAAGAATCAAGCAGAGTGAATTTACTTAGATATAGAAGCTTCCGCAGATCTTCACTTCCGATTAGGTTAAATATTAGTTCCTTTTTATCATTGACTGAGAAACTAAGTAGTACTAAATTGATTGTTTCCAAGTCTTCAACAGAAAGCAAGTTACGAATGGCGTGACATCCATTTACAATGACTGGAGACATGCGTTTTTGAGTCTTACTGGGCTTCCACGCCAAATTTTCCTAAACAATTCCACAGTGTTTCTCCCTTCTTTGATTTCTCTAACAATGTATGTCATTGTTTTAGTGTATGTGTCATCTTCAAGATAGTTGAACATTAAATTGATTGTTGATAAGAAGAAGCGTTGATATGGCCAAAAGCTTTCAGTATTGTTTCAGAATGAGTTTGAAAAACCTGGTTTTGATCCTTTAAATGAGATAACAAAAAAGCACAAACTATTAGTAAATACGTGATAGTTTTGGTATTCATATCTTCTACTCAATACTCTATTATATTTTTGTATAATTTGTTCTAACCAATTTTCTATATTAGCTTCTTTCTGATCAGCAGTCAATTTGTGCCAAAAATATCGGAGACTAAATTCATTACAAACAAAAATTGATAACGTAACCGTGTTGTGATAAATGCCGAAATTACAGTCATAGATATTACGATGATCAGTCTTCTTAATCTTACTTAATAGGCTAGGTAATTCGTCATTTATATAAGCAGTTCAATAATCTATCATATCATAACCATAATGGTTCTATAAAGTTGCTCTTTCAGATATATGTAATTTTTTTATCGAGTGGTATATTTTCCCATAAAGAAAAAACATATTCCTCTAAGCAGTATTTACACGCTAACTTATACAATTGACAAATACTGTTTTCTTGGTTTTCATTTTTGATCAGTTCTACAAGTGATCTACGTTTATCAATGATGCCTTCAGCTGTCCAATAAACTGTGCAATGCTTTTCAAAAAGATCTTTAACTTTGCAATATTCATCGTCTTTCGAATCGAAACATTTCAGCAACTGCAATCCAATAGGTCTGATGACATCAGATACTTTGATTTTTAGTAGATCAGGCAAGCGAAGATCTGCTAATTTCTCAGTTACTTTTTCTTCCAATTTATGATAAGCCTCTCTCGGTCCGGTGCATATAATTTCAGATCCATAGTGCATAGAATGCTGCTTTACGTCCTCATTTACATCGGGTTCAGTCCATAGTCTTATTGCTATTGACGTAAGAGTTATACTTTCTAAAGTAGGTGGTTGAGATATATAGTCTATATAACATACGTTTCTTGAAGACTCTATTTTCCCTTTCTTACATTGTACCTTATAAGATATCTCTCCACTTCGCTTATGTCCTGAAAGATATAAGTTCTGTATTTAGTTTATAGAAGAAATAACTGAGCAGGTTAGAGTTCGGGAAAAATAGGATATGCTCAGATTTTAGGTTTTAATTTGAACCATTTATGCCGTATTATTGTGATTATCCACTAGGCTATGTTTAAGAAAATTTACAAAAAAAAATCAAATTTTCCTGCAGAAATACAATTATTTTTTTTCTCTAGAATGGAACTTATAATTGTTTCAGGTATACAGGTAGTATATAACGAGAAAGTGGCTGTTTCATATAATTCATTTTATTTTATAACTGGCGTTGAATATCCGACACAATTCCGAGTTTACGACTATCAATGTTCAGCTCCGAGGCCATGTAATTTTAATCCAGAAGACAAAGGAACTCCTGACTTAAGTATTGTGACAAACTAGCCTTCGTGGTGGACTTTTCGATGGAACTAACCAGCATTTGCGTGACATGATGAGAAAAAGAACCTAAACCTCCAGGGTTAACCTGACGGTAAGAAAATTATAACCCATCACTGTGGTCGGTGCGAGCTGGAAACAGAATTCGTATCACTAAGCCACCTCTGAGATTCAAACCTGGGCCATCTCATTGGGAGGCAAACGACACCTCCCCGGAGCTACCGCGGCTCCATATAATCCATTTAATGAAACTAAAAAGTATCTTTTAGGTATTTTTCATTTACGATTAAAGACATATATCCCATTGTGAGGATTATCACACAATGCCAAGCTCATTAAAAACAATTTCTATTGGGACAAGTTGCTCTAGCACGCTTTGACTTATGCATCCGTTTTGAAACCGATGTCAATGCAATGTTTTTAAAAGCCTATTGAAGCCTTTTTGAGGTTAACTTATCTTTCTAAATACCACTAATCGTTAATCTAAAACTATAGCTACTGGAGCGATTCGTTACGACTCAGTCTGTAACAATCTGCTCTATTCTACGCACGTTGCCCTCATCCTGAGCCATGTAAAACAACCTTCAGTAAAACAACTTCAAATCGAGATTGGCATACGGTTTTCGTGCTCGAAAAAATCATTACATGAAGCTTGTCTTAATGTGAAAAATGCCTTACATCTAGATTAGTATAAGGTTTATTTTTTAAACGCAAGTTTGCTCAGCTTAATTAAATCTTGTGATGAAGTTTTCGTCGACAATGTAATCGCAAATACTTACGAGCTAATAAAATCGCTTACGAGGAAAAAAGCTAACAAATCCTTTTGGTCACATCAGAAACTACATTTCGATCCGGTTTTAAATTTTCTTAATATCATACACTGAGGTGACATAAGTCATGGGAGAGCAATATGCAAATATACATATGACAGAAGTATCGCGTGTAAAATATATATATATAGGTAGTGCTCTGCCTGAAATTATATTTGTTTTCAAGTTATTTGAGACTGTTTCTGATGTAACTATGGCAGCAAGATGGAAATTAACCAACTATTAACAGAGAATAGTAGTTGGAAAAAGACGCATGAGGCATTCCATTTCAGAAATTGTGTGAGAATTCAACACTCATAGATCTATAGTCTCAAGAATACCTTATTTACGGCATGACTTCCCACCATGGACAACGTAGTGACCGACCACCTGTACTTAATGACCGAGTACGCCTACATGTGCGTAGAACCTTCAATGTTAATACACAAGTAACATTGCGTTAAATAACCGCAAGTATCAATGCGGGACGTGTCTGTTAGAACAGTGCGACGGAATTCGGCTGTAAGGGGACGAGGCAGTAAAAGACCGACTCGAGTGTATCGAAGGTGTTGCAACTGAAACTTTACCATTTTATTAAGAATGATGATTAAAATATACTTTTATATCATAGATTTTAAAATACCAGAAAGGAATAAACAAAAAATTTCATACCGATGTTTTCCATATTTCCGTTGAATTCTTGATGTTTCTTTTTGTTTAACATTAACTTGTATTCCAAATTAAGTTCAAGAGCCCAAACCTAAAAAGTATGAAAAAAATTTACTAAAAAAATACTTTTTTCTTAATTTATCATGTATATTTCTTTTAATTAAAAGAATTGAAAGTATGTTTAGCGTCATTTATTATTTTGATATGCTGTGTTTCCAACTTTTTCCAGAACTTAGAATCCATTGAACACAATTAAAATAACATTTAGCTTTAAGCTAGGCCGATGATATGACCCTTTGGACTATACTGTCATTTTCATTCTGCTAACATTCTCACGGATAACACAATTAAGGATTTTCAACTGAGTTTAAATAATAATAAGATTCTAAAATCAGAACGGAATCTTAGAAATTTCCTATAGGCTAAATATTCTAGGAAATTTTATTATAGAAATTGTATATTAATTTAAACATATTTTTACCAATCTTAAGGTTATTTTGAATTTTATAAATTATATTTTCCATCTATATAGCACAAGAGTAGTTTTTAAGTTTCGTCACAAAATAAATCACTAGTAGTAACTTGAAAGTGTTATTACGAATATTAACCACTATTCTAGATTATGTACTGCCGTATACATTTAGTACTGTTAGATCGATTCCTCTTCCTGTGCCATAAAAATACGTTCAAATCATTTATACTCTCTGGATAAAATATTATAAAAAATTTATTAATATTATTAAAAACTTTATTTAACTGACGGTAAAAAATAAATTAATTAAGTAAAAACTTAACATAAAAACACCGAAGTGAAATATTATTTTTCATTCTGCATAGTAAAATTATTTACAACGAAAAATAGGAAAATTCATAGAATAAAAATATAATCACATTAAAGATAGTACGCAGAAATAATATTTTTTTTATATGCATTGTCAAAAAAATTCAACTTAACAAAATATCGAACAAAATAAAACAGACATGAAAAAAATGAAATATAAGTTCATTTTTTTGTTATTAAAACAAACACGCGGTCTCAATGAGTTTTTATACTAAGTGCACATATAAGAGAAAATATAGACATGTTCTCATCATAGATGCGAACATATATTATACATATAAGATAAAATATAGAAATATTCGTATTATAAATGCGAATGCATAAAAATAATAATCTTTTTAATAATTAAAAATAAACAAAACTCCGAAGAGTAAAATAGTTAAAAAGAAAATAGTATTATGACTTACTTATTTTGACATCAATAAAACAAACATGGGCACACATTTTTCTTTTCTGTGGCCTTCAAACGCATGTATACTTAAATCAACAACAACTGTGTTTTTCTTTTTCACATTTGCTCCACTTATGTGGAATATCATTTAAAACAATATTTCCTTTTTTTGCTCTCGACATGAATATAATAATAAATATTTTTATGTTGCGCTTTTAATGAAAAATAGCTTTACAATTACAACCAGAAAGATTCATTGTTTTGAAGCAATACATTTTACTTTAGATATAAATGGTGATAACGGTTATTTATTAGATAACAATTTGTTGAAGATAAAGGGTATTTTTTTTCTTTATTTTTTATTATCAAAGAAGTTTTCTCGTAAATTTTTCTCTCCAAATTCTTTTTTACCTCTCAGTTTTATGAATTTATTAGGAAAGTGGTATTAGACATTTATTTCCCAAAATAAGTTTAGTTGTATATTATTCAACACCTTAACTTTTCCGAAATTAACAGTTTGAATTATCCGAAATATTCGTCGAATGCTTTAATAAAGGCTGATGGTTTCAAAGTACGGATTAGGTGGTGTTCTATTCTCATCATAAATTAAGAATATTTTCTCGATATTACGTTTCGAAATGAAAACTAATTAAAACTCGATTTTTTTTTTTGTACATTTACAAAAACATAAAGTAATGAAAACCTATTTAAAATGTTAGTGAAATATAAAAGAGGTTCAATTTTTTGACACTTTTTTATAATTTTATCAACGAAAATTTAAATTACAGCGAGTTAGACTCAGGGCTGAAGTTGCTAATAACTAAAAAGCCCTTTTTCCTAATTCAGATGTCCAAGTTAGAGGGTCAACTAGATCAGTGTTCCACTATCATTCAATCAGTATTCATTTCCACTATTCTATTAGATGATTCGTATTCTTATCCCAATAGAAACGTATTCCAATTGGTTGCATCTGTAACTGATTGATCATTAATGAATTTCCAGTAAATGAAGTGATGCCATCTTACATATATTTATTATTTGATATACTGAGATCTGACTGATATCCTACCCACGAAATATAGGAAGCCACTTTAACAGCGAACGTGTTGTCAAAACGAAGGTGCTTCGGCAGCCTTGTAAAACTTAAAAGGTGAAAGAGAACTTATGGAATATCAAATTGATTTATTTAATTAATTGGGTATAATATGAAAAAAACACGACTACTTCGATTTAGTAGGAACAATATATGACGCAATGCTAAACGAATGGAATTTAGTTGTTGTTTATTTAGTTATTGTTATTAGTAGTTGTTGTTATTTGTTTTAGTTGTTGNTTTCAAAGTACGGATTAGGTGTTGTTCTATTCTCATCATAAATTAAGAATATTTTCTCGATATTACGTTTTGAAATGAAAACTAATTAAGACTCGATTTTTTTTGTACATTTACAAAAACATAAAGTAATAAAAACCTATTTAAAATGTTAGTGAAATATAAAAGAGGTTTTATTTTTTGAGACTTTTTTATAATTTTATCAACCGAAATTTAAGTCACAGCGAGTTAGATTCAGGGCTGAAGTTGCTAATAACTAAAAAGCCCTTTTTCCTAATTCAGATGTCCAAGTTAGAGGGTCAACTAGATCAGTGTTCCACTATCATTCAATCATTATTCATTTCCACTATTCTATTAGACGATTCGTATTCTTATCCCAATAGAAACGTATTCCAATTGGTTACATCTGTAACTGATTGATCATTAATGAATTTCCAGTAAAGGAAGTGATGCCATCTTACATATATAATTATTATTTGATTTACTGAGATCTAACGGATATCCTATCCACGAAATATAGGAAGCCGCTTTAACAACGAACGTGTTGTCAAAACGAAGGTGCTTCGGCTGCCTTGTAAAACTTTAAAGTTGAAAGACAACTTATGAATTTTCAAATTTATTTATTTAATTAATTGCGTGAAAATGAAGCAAGTTATTGAGTTCACATAAAAGCATTTGAAGTGAATTTAAAGTAAATAGAAAGGTTTTTAGGGCTCTATCAGACAAATTGCAGGCAAAAATTGAGAGTTGCATTTCTATTGACTCCAATCCCGTCATCAACAAAAATTAACAGAGTGCAAGACTATATTCATAATATTGGGAGATGTGATATTCTTTTCACCATTGCCATTTTCGACTGATGATATTGACAAAAACTTCTAAATATCTTCTGCTCACCTGTTTATCTGAGACAGTGTGCGCCATGAATAGAAAACATTCGAGAATTATGTTCTGTCAGTAAAATCTGTAATGATGAGAGTTGTTCTCTCATGAGCTGATCCATCTTAGAGAGACTAAACATATTAGATGGTGTGATGGATGGAATCCCCTTTTATACGCGAAAAAGGATGAAGAGTTATGACGTGCGACATTCTGATAGTCCACAAAATGTTATGACATCCTGTTTGGCCATGTGAGAAGAAATGAAATCTTAAAGAATGACAAACAGTATTGAAAAAAAAATAAACCCCAGGGTTTTATTTATTTATATTATGATACAATACATTCAAATTTACAATACAGCACAATACTTTCAATACTATGCGATATTTACATTATATATGCGTTTCCTTTGCTTTTTTATTGATCCAAGGGTTTTCCTGGATTAAATGGATACTGTCCTTTCCAACAGGGTATCACAACTGTTCGTAAATCAAAAGCCTCCAAAGAGTCCGAAAAATTGTATAAGAAGTCTCGGATGTTATCCCATTCTTGATCCTCCTTAGGTGCAATGAGTTAATCCACATTAAAAAACACCTCTTGGGGATCTTTAGATTCAACAAACACTTGAGGCAAATCCAATACTTTTGATTAAATAAACACTTGAGGCTTATCCAACACTTCTGATTCATCTAACGTTTGAGGCATATCCAACACTTCTGTTTCATCACAAGGCACTTGGGCTCCATCCAACATTCCCTTGAGTTCCTCATTCCCTTGATATTCGTCATTCCCCTGAGGCATATCCAACACTTGGATACTGGATACTTGTGGAACTTTAAACTCTTCAGGAAGCATTTGCACAAAAGACTTCGCTGTGGATGCTCGGCTCAAACGTTACGCAGCCTAGCATAGACTTCAACAGGCTGAGCAAACAACCGCAATCAATGCTAGGCAACGCAATGTTTGAGCTTAGCATTCACCCCCTACCCCACGGATGCAACAGCGTTGCAGCGTACAAGCCGAGCTTCTTCTCCGGCCGCAACAGTTACCGTAACTTACAGTTACAGACCAGGCTTCAATCGCAATCGATGCGAGACTACGTAACGTTTCGCTGAGCATACACCTCACCCCCACGGATGCTACAGCATTGCAACGTAAAAGCCAAGCTTCAGCTATGGAAGCAAAAGTCAGCGTAGCCTCGTATCAACTGCAGTTGAAGCTCGGCCTGTAACTGTAAGTTACAGGGGCTGTAGAGCCCGGAGTTGATGATCGGCTTGCACGTTACAATTAAGAAACAGCCGTGGTTGAGGTGGTGGATGCTCGACTCAAGCATTACGTAGCCTCGCAAAGACTTCAACAGGCTGAGCAAACAGCAAGCAATCAATGCGAGGCTACGCAACGTTTGAGCTTAGCATTCACCACCTCCCCCACGAACGCTACAGCGTCGCAACGTACAAGCCGAGCATCTACTCCGGGCGCTACAGTTACCGTAACTTACAGCTACAGACCAAGCTTCTACCAAAATCGATGGGAGACTACGCAACGTTTAGCTGAGCATACAGCCCACCCCCACAAACGCTACAGCATTGTAACGTAAAAGCCAAGGTGGAAGCTACAGCCAGTGAAGCCTCGTATCGACTGCGGTCGAAGATCAGCCTGTAACTGTAAGTGAAGGGGGTTGTAGAGCCCGGAGTTGATGATCGGCTTGTACGTTACAATTCTGTAACACCCGTGGTTGAGGTGGTGGATGCTCGTCTCAGGCATTACGTAGCCTTGCAAAGACTTCAGCAGGCTGAGCAAACAACCGCAATCAATGCGAGGCTGCGTTACGTTTGAGCTGAGCATTCACCACCTCCCACACGGACGCTACAGCGTCGCAACGTACATGCCGAGCATCTACTCCGGGCGCTACAGTCATTGTAACTTACAGCTACAGACCAGGCTTCAACCGCAATCGATGCGAGATTACGTAGCGTTGGAGCTGAGCATCCACCACCTTTACTTCGATCCTCCACCTCTACCTCCCTTGACAGAAACTTCCAATCAGATTTGAACACGCCTACTTGAATGGATTCCAAAGTGAATAGTTGACTTGCTACTTGTGACTGCGACATTATCCTCCTCCTGGCACGGTTGCTCCTTAGACAATATCAAACTCAATGTCTGCCTCTGTGCACTCGACTGCTAACGACAACACTTTCGCTGGAACGACTACGACTGTGAACTTAATGCAGCTCTCGCGATCAACATTCAAAAAAGTCCGGTGATCTAAACATAGCTCTCCCGGTTTCTCCCAAAAC